CACAAAACCGACATGAGTCACGAGTGCCCACTCCAGAGGTAAAAGGGTTTGAGGATCGTCGGTTTTCTGCACATTATCGATATCCTGGTCTTTCCCCCTTTCGGTCACAAACTGATCAAACCCATAAATTCGTCTTCTTTTCCCCTTTCCCCTCAGGTCAGAACACAATGGGAAAGGGAGAGCCCCCCCCCCTTTTTCCCGGGGGTTGAGGTGACTTGCGACGAGGCTGGTGAAAAAAGGAAAAACTGACCCCGCTTTCCCCCACAATGCTATGCGGGCGCCAATTTTTTTTTTTGTTTATGGCGCACACCCACCCGCAGACCCGTTCCCCTCCATGTAGGTCTATGAGCCTTTTGCGCAAATTTGACGGTGCAGAATTTTGGCGTGATCTACGGTTTGGACACTAACGTGAACCGTGATCTCGGGGGACCTGAAAGGGTTAATCAAGCTTTGCTTATCGAAAATGGCTTCTTTAATCTCAGATAATTGACTCTAGAAATTTTCCCCTTAAAATTTGAGGTCATGTTATTGGGCAAAAATTTGATGGTAATTTGTCCCCTGTTTTAAAAAAATGGAGAGGGTTAAGGTCCCTTTGGGGTTTTGGCAGAGAGCATGTTAGTTCCTTTGTTAAAAGGCAAAGGGGACAAAAGAGAGTGAAAAAAATTATAGGGGGAAGTTGTGAGTAACATGGTAATGTGTAAGGTGAGTTTTGAAAGAATTAAGAGTAAAGGGAGAAAGGATAGCAAAATAAACAAGGAGGTTTAGGAAAGGTAGGGGGTGTGTGGACCAGTTTTTTACATTTAAACATATAAATGAAGAGTTTTAGATTGGCTAAGAGGTTTTTTTTGGATTTTGGATTTGGAAAAGATAGGGGCAAAGGGTGGTAGGAGGCATTGTCCAGATGTTGCAGGTGTATGGTATAGGAGGTAGGTTACTAAAAGCAGTGAAGAGTTTTTACGAGGATAGTGAGGCTCAAGTTAGTGTGTGTAGGAAAGAGGGAGATTATTTCCCAGTAAGAGTAGGGCTTAGACAAGGATGTGTGATGTCACCGTGGTTGTTTAATATATTTATAGATGGGGTTGTAAGAGAAGTAAATGCGAGGGTCTTGGCAAGAGGCGTGGAGTTAAAAGATAAAGAATCACACATAAAGTGGGAGTTGTCACAGTTGCTCTTTGCTGGTGACACTGTGCTCTTGGGAGATTCTGAAGAGAAGTTGCAGAGGTTGGTGGATGAATTTGGTAGGGTATGTAAAAGAAGAAAATTAAAAGTGAATATAGGAAAGAGTATGATGGTTATGAGGATAACAAAAAGATTAGGTGATGAAAGACTGGATATCAGATTGGAGGGAGAGAGTATGGAGGAGGTGAATGTATTCAGATATTTGGGAGTGGACGTGTCAGCGGATGGGTCTATGAAAGATGAGGTGAATCATAGAATTGATGAAGGAAAAGGGCGAGCGGTGTGCTTAGAAGTCTCTGGAGACAAAGAACTTTGTCTTTGGAGGCAAAGAGGGGAATGTATGAGAGTATAGTTTTACCAGCGCTCTTTTATGGGTGTGAAGCATGGGTGATGAATGTTGCAGCGAGGAGAAGGCTGGAGGCAGTGGAGATGTCATGTCTGAGGGCAATGTGTGGTGTGAATGTAATGCAGAGAATTCGTAGTTTGGAAGTTAGGAGGAGGTGCGGGATTGCCAAAACTGTTGTCCAGAGGGCTGAGGAAGGGTTGTTGAGGTGGTTCGGATATGTAGAGAGAATGGAGCGAAACAGAATGTCTTCAAGAGTGTATCAGTCTGTAGTGGAAGGAAGGCAGGGTAGGGGTTGGCCTAGGAAAGGTTGGAGGGAGAGGGTAAAGGAGGTTTTGTGTGTGAGGGGCTTGGACTTCCAGTGGGCATGCGTGAGCGTGTTTGATAGGAGTGAATGGAGACAAATGGTTTTTAATACTTGACGTGCTGTTGGAGTGTGAGCAAAGTAACGTTTATGAAGGGATTCAGGGAAACCGACAGGCCGGACTTGAGTCCTGGAGATGGGAAGTACAGTGCCTGCACTCTGAAGGAGGGGTGTTAATGTTGCAGTTTAAAAATTGTAGTGTAAAGCACCCTTCTGGCAAGATGATGGAGTGAATGATGGTGAAAGTTTTTCCTTTTCAGGCCACCCTGCGTTGGTGGGAATCGGCCAGTGTGTTAATAAAAAAAAAAATAACAACATTAGCCATCTTCCACATATCAGACACTACACCTGTTTGAAGAGATAAATTAAAAATATTAGTTAATGGTTCACAGAGTTCCATTTTGCATTCCTTAAGAACCCTTGAAAAAAGCTCATCAAGACCCGGCGACTTATTTTGCTTCAGTCTGTCTCTCTGCTTCACAACCATTTCACTAGTGACTGTGATGTTACATAATTTATCTTCTTCAGGCCCACTATAAAAATTAATTACTGGAATATTGTTAGTGTCTTCCTGTGTAAAAACCGAGAGAAAATAATTAATTATTTAAAATCGAGCGCATTTCATTCTCTTTGTTAGTAAGATACCCATAGTTATTTTTAACCCTTTGAGGGTTTCGGCCGTACTAATACGGCTTATGACCCAGGGTTTTTGAAGTACTAGTATGCCTAAATTCTAGCGCCCTCAAATCTAGTGCACAGATTAAAAAAAATCCTGCATTACACAGTGCATAATGAGAAAAAAAACTGACCATTTTTTTGGGGGGGGAATAAAACAGCGATTTTGCACTGTATTTTCGTATGGTATTTATTGTTGTATTCTAGTTTTCTTGGTCTCATTGAATAGAATGGAAGACATATTACAGAAATTGAGATGATTTTGACTGGTTTTACAATGAAAAGTACGTACCTTGAAATTGAGCTCAATGTAGCAGAAATGTTCGATTTTTACCAAAGTTCAAAAGTAAACAAATCATGCCAAGCGTCCAATACACATGAACTGGTGAGTCTAATATTCTTTCGCAAGTGCCCCAATATTATTTATTCCATTTTTACACTAATGCAGTAGTCTGCATAACAGTAAATCTTGTATTTTTTTGTGAGAATAAAAATTCAAAGAGGAAAGCAAAAGAATGTAAGAGGGGCTTTGAGACGTGACTAATGAACAGAGGAAATGTCATTTTAGTGCCAGGAATGTCTTTCTTGTTTATTCTGGATCCTATTCGGAAATTGGCATCTTTTGAAATTTGTGTGAAATTGGCGAAATTGCTAAATTCTGACCACTGTACTGGATAGTTGAAATTGATAAATGGGTGGTTTCTTGCACTCATTCGATAGAAAAAAATGGAGTTCTAGAGAAATACTCAGGTTTTTTGTTGACTAGTACAGTGGAATTGGCCGAAAATGGGGCTCAAAGTGGGCAAAATCACCAATGCCTAAACATTGCCGAGACCGCTAACTTCGCGAGAGCATAATTCCGTAAGTTTTCAATCAAATTTCAAACTTTTGGTGTCATTATGATTGGGAAAAGATTCTCTATCTTTTCCTAAGAGAATTTTCTTTTTTTAAATTTGGCCGACCCTGAGAATGAGTCTCGGAGAGGGCCTGTCGACCCTCAAAGGGTTAAGGGGACCTATCTTATCTCCTTTTGTTCTATAGACCTGGAAAAAACTTTTTAGGTTAGTTTTCGAATCCCTAGCAACTTTAATTTCATAGTCCCTTTTTTTAACGTCCCTCTTAATGTCAATATACTGATTCATAAGATGACCCTCGCCTCTTTTGATATGTCTATAAATTCCCTTCTTATGCCCTAGTAGGTATTTCAGCCTATTATTCATCCATTTTGGGTCATTTCTATTTGATCTAATTTCTTTATACGGGATAAACGTTCTTTGAGCAGCATGTATAGTGTTCAGAAAACTGTCATGTTGATAGCTCTCTTCATTACCCCAGCCAACAGATGATAAGTGTTCTCTAAGCCCACCGTAATCTGCTAAGCGAAATCTGGGGCTGTTACTGAGTTACCCCTTTACTATCGTACTTCCATTCAATGCTAAATGTAATTGTTTGTGGTCGCTAGCACCCAGTTCCTCTGAAATTTCTAAATTATTAACAAGGGAGTCATTGTTTGCCAGGACTAAGTCAAGCAGGTTATTTCCCCTTGTAGGTTCTGTCACAAACTGCTTCAAAAAACAATCCTGAACTACTACTTAGTAGTCGTATGATTCTAAATTCCCAGTCAAGAAATTTCCCAAATCAGCGATATGTACGCAGTCAGCGATTTTGCCCACTTTGACCCCTGTTTTAGATCAATTACATTGTTCCAGTCAACCAAATTCTTTGCTATTTCACTTGTATGCCTTCTATTTTATTGATTGAGCACAAGAAACTGCCCAATCAACTATTTCAACTACCCAATAAAGTGATCAGAATTTTTTTTTTTTTTTGAACATTGAGCACTTTTAATATTGGGGGTTTGGATAGTGAATGGGTTGAATCTGCATAGTGTTTGGAGTTTTTTCAAAATTCCAAAAATTGTAATATCAGAATAAATAAGTCATCTTTCTGTTTGCTGCTAGGGAAGCTAGTGATGGTATGATAGGCCCTGTTTCATTGTTTTCTTGTAATAGTTATCCAGCATTACCCAGAATGCACTGCATAGGTCCTAGCCAGTCATGTATTTTTTTTCAAATGCATGAAGAGACTGTAGGAGAGCTGCACAGTTGAGTTGATGTCAAAAATTTTGGTAGGTGACATATTTGAAAGCCTGAAAAATTGTTTTAGTACATTGGAAACAGTCTTGTCACCTGCATACTAGTACATTGAATACAAATTATGAGGGTATGGTCTGGTGTAATGACATTCCGAAGGCAGGCAAACATTTCCTAACATGCAGCTTTAATTTTCCTAAAGTTTTCTTGATTATAACATTTTGCATGCATTTAGCTTACTGATTTCATTACTATTGTTGCACATTAGCTTTTTTAGATTGGTACGTCTTGCATACTTATATTGATTTTGAAGAATTTAATTTCCCTTTTTTCTTTCCACTTGCAGAAAGAAATGGAACCAATGAGGGCCCAAACTATCCAGTTTTACCAGCAAACAAAACAGCGTGAACACCTAAAGATCTTGCAGCGTCAGCACATCATTGAGGAGCGTAAGGAGATGCTAGAGAACCAGAATTTAGAGCGTGAAGAATCCATCCGTAGAGCTCAGGTATGGTTTTCTGTGCTTTAAATTAGTATAAATTGTTTCTGACTCGTCGAGGTACAATATTTGCAGAGATATCTTAGAAATCTTGTTTGTTTGTGCATGTGTATAGACAGTAAATGTAAATACACTTAATATTTATAGTACAGGAGCGCCCCGCTTATACGGCGGGTTATTTTCTAGGCTACCGCTGTTAAGTGAATTACACTTTTTTTTCACCTAAATGCATATAAATGCCTGATAACATGTTGACACTATCATACATTTAATTAGCAATAGAACTAGGCATAAAAAATAATGCATATGCAGTACACTTATTACTTTTCTTAAAATATTTTTGGCCTTAACGTATGGTGAGAGGCGAGTAGTATTTATTGTAGGAAGGCAGGAGGTGGTGGCTAGATAATGGCTGCGGCTTAAAAGGCACGTTTTGACTAGCTTGATCTTCAGTCTACACTAGTTTGTTTGCATCAGCAATAAGGTTATCATGTTTTATTATACCTTTAGTGTTCACTGGTGTAGCACTTATTTCCTGCAATACTTTTTCTTTAGAGTTCATTTAAAGTAAGAGCTTTATGACTCTTCCTTTTATCATGACGACTTTTTTGTCCTACTTGGTTCGAGTCGGACCGAAATGTTGTTGTAAGCTCCCGCTCTCCTATGTGCGGGCTGTTTGTATATTGTTCCAGTAACATTATTGTGCTATTTTTGTTCTTTAAAAATAGTATGTATAATATGCATAATAACTTTAAAACGCCTGAAACTTCAGCAGGTTTCCAGACAGAACCGAAAGAAATACAGAGCTCACAGCATCGCACCCAGATTCACTTGTAGATTATTATTTTTATTATTATTATTTCAACAAACAGGCCATATCCCACCAAAGCAGGGTGGCCCAAAAAGAAAAACTGAAGTTTCTCTTTTTAACTTTAGTAATGTATACAGGAGAAAGGATTACTAGTCCCTTGCTCCCAGCATTTTAGTCACCTCTTATTACATGCATGGCTTATAGAAGAAGAATTCTGTTTCACTTTGTCATGTCTGTAAGAGGAAATAAACAAGAAGAACTAGTAAGAAAATAGAAAACCCAGAGGGGTGTGTGTATATATATGCTTGTACATGCATGCAAAGTGTAAGCTAAGTGTAAGTAAAAGTAGCAAGACGTATCTGAAAACTTGCATGTTTATGAGAGAAAAAAGACACCAGCAGTCCTACCATCATGTAAAGAATTACAGGCTTCTGCTTTACACTTCCTGGTCGGTTGCTGTCTACCAGCCTACTGCAGAGATTGGTGGATGAATTTGGTAGGGTGTGCAAAAGAAGAAAATTAAAAGTGAATACAGGAAAGAGTAAGGTTATGAGGATAAAAATATTAGGTGATGAAAGATTGGATATCAGATTGGAGGGAGAGAGTATGGAGGAGGTGAATGTATTCAGATATTTGGGAGTGGACGTGTCAGCGGATGGGTCTATGAAGGATGAGGTGGATCATAGAATTGATGAGGGGAAAAGGGCGAGTGGTGCACTTAGGAGTCTGTGGAGACAAAGAACTTTGTCCTTGGAGGCAAAGAGGGGAATGTATGAGAGTATAGTTTTACCAACACTCTTATATGGGTGTGAAGCATGGGTGATGAATGTTGCAGCGAGGAGAAGGCTGGAGGCAGTGGAGATGTCATGTCTGAGGGCAATGTGTGGTGTGAATATAATGCAGAGAATTCGTAGTTTGGAAGTTAGGAGGAGGTGCGGGATTACCAAAACTGTTGTCCAGAGGGCTGAGGAAGGGTTGTTGAGGTGGTTCGGACATGTAGAGAGAATGGAGCGAAACAGAATGACTTCAAGAGTGTATCAGTCTGTAGTGGAAGGAAGGCGGGGTAGGGGTCGGCCTAGGAAAGGTTGGAGGGAGGGGGTAAAGGAGGTTTTGTGTGCGAGGGGCTTGAACTTCCAGCAGGCGTGCGTGGAGCGTGTTTGATAGGAGTGAATGGAGACGAATGGTTTTTAATACTTGACGTGCTGTTGGAGTGTGAGCAAAGTAACATTTATGAAGGGGTTCAGGGAAACCGGCAGGCCGGACTTGAGTCCTGGAGATGGGAAGTACAGTGCCTGCACTCTGAAGGAGGGGTGTTAATGTTGCAGTTTAAAAACTGTAGTGTAAAGCACCCTTCTGGCAAGACAGTGATGGAGTGAATGATGGTGAAAGTTTTTCTTTTTCGGGCCACCCTGCCTTGGTGGGAATCAGCCAGTGTGATAATAAAATAAATATTTAACGCTGGGGAGTGTGTCCATAGATGGGTATAGGGTTTCAGTGTTTTGGGTGGGCGGGGAAATTTACGCACATTTCATACCTATCCACTAGCCATTAATTTGTATTCATCTGGCATTATGATATGCTTGTGAAGCATTTTGCCTACAGTATAAATGCCTTACATTGTGTACAAGTTGTCTCCACGTTGGTGTAGTAGAGCAGCAACACTCCCTTTTTCATGCAACACACCCTTTTGAGAGCAAATGATGCTATGTGTAAAGGCATTTGAAAAAGAATGTTTTTATACAGTTACACTCTAGTAATACCATATACAGTTTCTCAGGTATTGTACTAGAGAGAACATAATTCTTGCCGTATGCTACTACAAGTCTCTCGGTTATATCACACCTCATAATTGTCAGTTTGTTCTAGTATGTTTATACAATATGTAGTGTGTTTCTTATAAAATTAAAAAAAAAAAATTATAATGTATATGGATTAATGAAATTGACTATAATAATATATGACATTTAAAGTGCACAGGTTGATTATTATTTTTGCATCTCCAACACTAGTGAGACACTCTTAGCTACTTTCTCACCTGGCATAGCTACTCCTACTTAGTAATGATGCCAAATAGAGATTTTAATGTATCCGCACACCAGCACAGTGTGTACGTTTATTTAGGTACAGGTACACTAGTACAATTATAAGTAGTATCTCTGTACTGTTGCAGCCATAGGCCTGGCTGCGATAGTACTGAGTAAGTAAGAGCTTTATGACTTCTCTTTTTATCACAAATACCCTTAGATATCATTGTAACACAAGGATTATATATACAATATGCAATAACTTTAAAACACTTGAAACTTCGGAAGATGTCGAGACAGTCAAGAGAGACGTGGAGCTCACAGAGGATGTAAAGAAACTGTGGATGGGTGGGTGCCATAATAGTGAATCAGGAGCCATGTAAATGAATTTTGCGGTATAATTTGAAATGTTCATATTAGTGAAGCGCCATAAAGTGGGGCCCTTCTGTATATATGGCTCTGTATATACATATAGTACAAGTGTGTACAACACTTTGTAATAGTTGTGGTACACTATTTGCTAGTTGGGTGTGTGCTTATGTATGCACTCTACTTTATTAACCAAGTTATTTGCATAGTAAGAGTATTGTTGTATACGATATAAGAAATTGAGGTGCTACATTGTCTCGGAGTTTTGTAATAGCATATAAGCTGTGTAAAACTGATAATCCATTTGCTGCAACTGTCATGTATAAGTGTCCACAATTATTGCATGGGGAAGAGAGGGAATACAATTAATGTTTCCTATGTCAGAGATGTTTAAGTATTTGGCTGTTAACTGCATTGCTACATTATGTAGAAAAATATTGTTATCACATAAACTGGACAGCTGAATTAGCAAAAAGAAAAGAGCATTGATAACACAGTAAATACTATGAGGCATAGACTGTAGACAAGTATAGGATTTTTATCAAGGGTGCAACAAAAACAGTTGGAAATTGCACTTCCATATGAACACAGGTTGAGAGGTGGGGCCAGGAGCTATGTATAGGTGAGTACAGTGATAATGGGGAAAATATTTCCTCAAATGGTAGGAAGTATAACAAGCTAAACAATAACAGCTGAAGTGAACTCCATACTGAAGGTAAAAAATAGATAAGACATGGCTCATTTGTCTGTAAGTTAAAAGCTAAGAGGTAGAACCAAGAGCTATAGCTCACCCTCTGCTAACTCAGATAATTACACATACAAGTATGTGTACAATTACTATAGTTGGTAGCATTTTTGTGTAACTGAAATATAAGTTCAGAAGGTGTTTGTTCTCTTCGCACTTTCAGGAGCAGCAGCTCAAGAAGCAGAAAGAGGAAGAGCAGCAGCGTCTTGAGCGAGAGGCTAGTCTTCGTGAGAAGGCTAGGCAGGAGGAACAGTTGAAGCAAATTCAAACCAAGCAAATAAAGGACAGACTGATGCAAATCTCTCAAACTTCCTATGGCCAGAAGATGATGGAAAAGTTTGATGAAGAAGTCGGTATATCTTGTACTTTATTTTGCCTTCCATTTCCTCTGCCCCCTTTAATTCCTTCACTTAACCTATTTATTGCTTGAACTATCTTCCTATTTACCTTCTTATTCCCTTCTTTTGCTGTGTCTACTTCTTCCCCTTCCCCATTATTTGCTCAACTCCTCCTCCTCCCCTTATTTCCCCAATTTCTTCTTTTCCTTTCATATTTTTTCCTTTTTCTACTCCTTTTGTTCCTTCCCTTTCTTTTTATCCTTCCTCCTCACCCTGGTTTATTTTACCTCCCTTTTTCAACACTGGCCATCTCCAACCAAGGCAGGGTGACCTGAGGTTTTTTTTTTTACTTTTTACATTTTCTAATTAATACAGAAGGATTTACTAGCCCCTTACTCCTGGCATTTTAGTTGCCTCTTAAGACATGCATGTCTTATAGGGAGGATT